GTCGGGACGTCGCGAGCCCGGCCGCGCTCTGGGCCGTCCGCGTCCGACGCGCCGGGGCGCCGGCAGGGGGCGGCCGCGAGCTGACGCTGTCTTTTACCGACACAGGTGTCTAACGCCTCGGGGACCACCGGTAGGCAGCCGGTTGTGGTCCAGAAAAGGCTCCCGGGAGTTGAGTCAGACGAGTGAGAGGGGCAGAAGACAGAGAGTGGGGTAACTTGTCAGCTGGGGGTGCGGAAGGCTTTGTGCTAGGTAAGGAAACGTCTGTTCCAGAACAGCTCAGAATCCCCGTTTTGGGAACCCAGCCTCTCCCTGGGGTCTGTCCGGCAGGTAGCTGAGGCCCTTACCCCTGACTCTCGGGGTTTCCACATCTTTTTCCCCCCATGGAATACAAAAACCCACATTTCTGTTCCCTGTGGTGATGTAATTGTGCCTGAAGCCCAATAAAATGTTGTGTATATGTCTCCACAAAGAAATCACGTCATTTCACACCAGTTTTAGCTGGCAAGGAAAACCTTGAGGCATAAAATGAAGACCAAGGGCAGAACCCTAGAACAATACTGGCGTCCACCAAGACTTGGTTCTGTGAGCTGAGGGGTCCTGCGCTGGTCACCTCCTTCCTTGGGTCTGTTGTTCCATCCACCTCCCTAATGAGTGGTGTTGGACCCGCTGGCCCCCAACTGCCTGCTCTTCCAGATTTCAGATTCTCACAGTGTTGCTGCTAGCGTTGTTGGAATATGTGGGCCTTGATTTTGAAATCTATTATTTGCCATCTTATCTAGCCGATGTAGCAATAGGGGCAGTTGGTTAACTTGCTGTGTTTGGGAGCTGGTTAACAGCTGGATGACCTCTGAGTACTAGGTAGAGAGACGGAGCAGGCAGAGAGGTCATCCTTACCCACTTTCAAATCTGGAGGGGCTGAAATGTTGTCATTGCTAAGGAAAGAGCCTGTTTTCTGAACTACAGGTTTTCTTCCATTTAGGGACATTCTGAAGTGTCATGGTTGAGAGTGTTTGCATCAGGAGCCAGGAAGAGTGTAAGCCGGACAGTGACTGTCCCATTTAAAGAGTCTCTCCCCTCTGCTCCCTTCGCACTGATGTCAGGAGACGACAGGCCCAGTTGTCGTTGGTGCCGTCCAGTCAACTCAGACTTGTAGTGGCCATGTGACAGAGTAGAACTGCCCCAAAGGGTTCTTGGCTGTAACCTTTTGTTTTTTTAACTTTATCGTGCTTTAGGTGGATGTTTACAGTGCAGATTAGTTTCTGATTTGAAAATTTAGACACAAATTGTTTTGTGACATTGATCGCGATCCCCACAATGTGTCAGCACTCTCCCCCTTTCCCTTTCCATCCTGGGTTCCCAGGGCCATTTGACCAGTTTTCCTGTGCCTCCCTGCCTTGTCTTCGCCTTGGGGCAGGTATTGCCCATTTGGTCCTGTAAACTTGACTGAATTAAGAAGCACGTTCCTCCCGTGTGTTGTTTTGTAGGCCTGCCTAATCTTTGGCTGAAAGGTGGACTTTGGGAGTGGCTTCAGTTCTGAGTTAGTAGGGTGTTGGCTGTAATCTTTACGGGAGCAGATTGCCAGGCCTCTTCTGCGGTATCACTGGGTGGGTTTGAACCGCCAACCTTTAGGTTAGCAGTTGACTGAAAACTGTTTGCACCACCCAGAGACCTGTGCGCCCAGTTAGAGAAGCAAAAATCCTGTGAAATTTTAAAATATTTTGTGGTTCAAACAGAGCACAGGCTGCGGGTGTGGATCTCTGAACAAAGTATCGCAGTTGCAAGCCTGTGAGTGGTAGCGTTTTCAGGCAGCGCTGAGCTATTTATGGAGGAGTAAGGTTTCCATGGTGCCAGCACCACACCAACTCTTCCTTAGCAATCAGTGCACCTTTCCCAGGCGGCCAGCTTCTCCACAAGGCCGCTTCAGTGCCAGGAGAAGGCTGAGCACCAGTGGGAAGTCATGTTCCCTTCACCCGGGCAGCAAGCTCGTTTTTAAGATTCTGCCAAGAAATATATAAACAGCGCCCCCTTTTGAGGAGGAGAATGCTGAGTCCTGCTGTAATCCCCCTGCTCCCCCCACACAGACACTGTTCTGTAGTCCTGCTGGGGCTTGGACAGTGCCAGGGCTCAGGGGAAGTAGGACATCACAGAAACCTGAGCATACAAAAATGTTTGTCTGCTGTGATGAGGAGAAGGGTCTGGAGCATGCCCAGCTGGCTGTCAGAGGGGGAAACGGATATGTTTGTATAATCGTGAAAGCGACAGTTTAGGCCCTTTTCCTGGCCATGGCGTTGAGACGGCCCCTGGGGACGTAGTCAGTCAGTGAGCGCTGCCTGCTTTCCAGATCCTTTTGGGAGAGGCCCCCTCCCAGCACCTAGCCCAGGATATCACAGCCGCCTTCCGTCAGCCTTTGTGGATTTCCCCCTTCGAGCTAAGACTTACCGGACTGTTCGGCCCGCATGTATTCCAATCAGCAGGAGTTTCATTGTGAAGCTACGTTGGTGTCTGTCTTCTGGGACGGTGGAGGTGCTGTGTCCCTCAGTCCCCACCCCTGGCGGAGTCATCTGACCCAGTTGGCCAGTAAAGCTGAGTCCTCCAGACGAGACTAAAGCAGGGTGGCCAGCTCTCCGTTTCTCAGGACTGGCGGCGGTGGGGGTGCCTTGTCCACGTCTTGAATTCTTGCTGTTGGAGAGCGAATATTGCTTTCTTCTATGGCCAGGGGTCCGAGCAGGGCTCTGTCCTTCTCTTAGCTCAGGGAGGCAGCACTGGGTGCTGGGTTAATCGGCCAGGCTCAGTGCTTTCACCCGAGCCCCTTGCTTTTTGTCCTTGTTCTGAGCTGGGCCTGGGCAGTTTGACAGCGGCTGGAATCATAACACACAGCTGGCAGTTTTGGTACCTGTCAAAAAAAAAAAAAAAACAAAAACAAAAACAGTTGCTGTTGAGGTAACTCCAACTCATGGTGACCCAGGCGTGTGAGAGTAGACCTGTGCTCCACAGGGTTTTCAATGGCTGTGATCTTTTGAGGGGTAGATCGCCAGGCCTTTTTTCTGAGGTGCCTGTGGGTGGACTCGAACCTCCAACTTTCTGGTTAGCCATGTGCGTAGCTATTTGCACTGCCCGGGAACTCCTCCTGGTCCCTTTAAGACCTTGGAAAAGAAAACAAGGGGCATAAGTCTCAACAGCTGATTTCCGCAAACAGGAACACGAACCAGGTTCTGTTTTCCTCCAAAATAAGTGGCCGAGTGAGGATGTTCTCGGCCTTGTCAGAGGAACCGAGACCACGCTCGTGTGTTGACATGGCCTGCCCCGCCGTCCCCGGGACCGAGTGCTGGGCTAGGGCTAAGTTTAAGTCTCGGCTGGCGTGGCCTCACTTGGACGCCGCCCTGAAGCTGCGTTGTGTCCTCAGGTCCAGCCCTGCTGGGAGTCCTGTTCCATCACACCGACCTGCGGAAGAGCGCGGTGGTTGAGCAGGCCGCCATGAAGGTGGAGCTCCTGCCCGCCCTGACCGACAACTACATGTACCTGCTCATCGACAGGGACACCAAGGAGGCCGCCATCGTGGACCCGGTGCAGCCCCAGAAGGTCTGGGTCATTGGCTCTGGTGGGGGTGGAGGGCATGTGTTGGGGGGCTTTGCTTCCAGCCTTGTCTCAGTCTGTTGTTGTTGGGTGCCATCGCGACCCCTCAGAATTTCTCAGCCTGCAGTCTTGCGGGCATAACCGGCCTGCGCAGGAGCCGACGGGGTCGGGGCCTGTCTCGTGCCTCGTCGCCAGCGGCGCTGTGTCCTGGCCGCTCTGCCAGAACCCAGTGGAGAGGAATCCACTCCTGAACGTGTGTCCAGCCGTCAGGACGGGAGGGTGGAGAAGACCAGAGGGAGAGAAAAGGGGCTCCGACTCCAACATGGGGTGCAGTGAGCCCCTGGGACTGCTTTCCCTCCTCGTGGCTCTCTGCCCTGCGGTGCCCCCTCCAGGGGTTGTGGCCTCAGGGCAGGGGGGCCCAGAGAGGGTGTGTGTGGGGTCCAGAGAGAAAGGGCACCTTTCCCCCACTTTCCCAGAGTCAGAGCGAGTCGGGAGTCAGGGCGAGTGGGGCCACGGGGCCGGGGAGCCGGGGTGGGGAGTGAGTGTGGCCTTTGTTCTTTCTGACCTCTGGGCATAGGTCATGGAGACCGTGAAGAAGCACGGCGTGAAGCTGACCACTGTGCTGACCACCCACCACCACTGGTGAGTGCCGTGACCCTTCGGTGTCTTCCCGCCACA